TTTTGTAGATATTCTTGAAGCTCCTTGGTTTCGGTACCAGGTGATGCTCTACCTACATAAATCCATGCTCTTCGAGGAACAGCCGTAAGGCCACTGCTAATTTGGTCTTTTTCGGATGTAACTGCTGCCTCACCAAACACTCGAATTTTCTTCTGATCAACGGATTTTAACTTTGCGTTATCCGCACTGTATACTGTATTTTTAGTCGCCTCCTTTTTATTGGATTGGGTTTTTTCCCCAGTTTTTGTTTTAATCTTATGAATTAAAGTGGTATTTTTAGATTTAGTAATTGTGGCCATTTATGTTTGTGGTTTCTTTATAAAAATAAATGAGAAAAGAAAATATGATTAGTCTATTATTAACCGTTGTTTAAAGATAATGTCCCAGCTATTTACATTAAAAAGTAATAATTATGTTTTAAGTATCGATTTTACAAATCCAATACAACTTAATTCAGATTTTGACTACGGTATAGCATTAATAGGGTTTTATTCCTATAACAGTATCCAGGGCCGGATTAAGAGTTTTGAGGCCCTGGGGCCGACATTTGGTGGGGGACCTCAATATTTTTAAAAAATTGACACTTTAAAACTCATGGTAAATTTTTAAGCTAGAAGAACTTTACGTGATTTTTTATTATCCTTGAATCATTTAATATTTAATAAACCATATAAATTTTTAATAAAATCGGCCAAAGCGTTTTTAAGCTATAAATAAAAAACTAATTTTTTTTAAACGAAAAACCCTGTATCTCGATAATAAAGCATTTTCAGACACGTGTTTATAGGAACTTTTTTCATATATTGATGAGAGGAATTTCCCCTGAGCTTTTGTCACCACAAGTCTGAATCACCCTGTATATTTTGAATAATACGAACATAACCATATACATTTTACCCAAGTCTGAGAAATTATTAATTCGTATGCAAAACTATAAAAACGTAGATAGTAGAATAGAATTGTGAATGAAAGTGTTTTTATATACCTACTTTATATTTTATATATTTTGAATAATACGAACAATACTCAAGTAAAATATAAATTGATCTATGTTTTGTTTGTATTTTTAATCTTACCGCAAACTGAAAAAAAGTGCATCAAAAGTCGTATTATTTGTCTGTTTTTCATACAAAATCATTAATAATAAAACAATGTTTTGTCCAAAGAAAAGCACGAAACATTATTTCGGAAACACCGGAAAATATTCCACAACACTCCAATGTACCAATAAAAATCTGGGACAAAAACTTTAATATTAGATTATAAGTAATTGACTGTTTGCCTGTATTTACAAAAACGTTACGAAAAGCACTAAAGGAGCAATTGTTTTGAGTCATTACATCCTGATTTGCGAACGGATAAGCGATAAAAAATCCGCGAAAAATTAGAGTTAGATCTACGAAAAATTAATTGAAAATTACAGAATTCGCGCGGTATAACCGACCCAATTTTTTGTTTTTTTGCTAATTTTTTTCATATTCGTTTCATTAAAAAGCTACATATTGCATTGGTGGGGGCCCCTAAATGGTGGGGGCCCTGGGGCCGTGGCCCCGCTGGCCCTGTCCTAAATCCGGCCCTGACAGTATCCCTAATATTGAAGAAGGTGAAAATACATTTTATTATAAAGACGCGAATGTGGATAAGAAAATAATAATACCAACTGGTACTTATGAAATATTAGATATAGAAACTTACCTAAGACAACAAATTATTCCTGCCACCGTTAAAAAGGAAGATTATGATAAATATTTTTCACTTAAACCAAATAATAATACTTTAAAGTGTGAAATTCAAAGCAATACGTTGGAAATAGATTTTACACAAGCAGATGGTATAGGGAAAATATTAGGATTTTCTAAGCGTACTTTAACGCCGGGTAAAAAACACGAATCGGATCTCCCAGTTAATATAATAAAAGTTCGAACCATTCACATCGATTGTAATATATCTACAGGTGCTTATTATAATTATCTACCAACACACACAATTTACGAATTTTCAGTAGACGTTGATCCAGGCTATACAATCAACGAAATTCCCCGAAACCTTATTTATTTACCAATAATAAATAAACAGGAAATATCTAATATTACTTTGGTAATTTTTAACCAAGATTTTAAGCCAGTTAATTTTCGTGGAGAGGAAGTTAACTTCCACACGGAACAATTACATCCAATGGATATCCAATGGATTTCTTTTATGGATATCCAGGATATACATAGGATATCCGGGATATCCAATGGATAACCATTGGATATATAAATGTCCGACCCTCCTGGACATAGTGTGGATATCCAATGGATACCCAGTGGATATAGTATTGTATGCAATATGGTTGTAATCTGTATTCAATATGGAGATTGTATGGATATCCAATGGATACCCATTGGATATATAAATGTCCGACCCTCCTGGACATAGTGTGGATATCCAATGGATACCCAGTGGATATAGTATTGTATGCAATATGGTTGTAATCTGTATTCAATATGGAGATTGTATGGATATCCAATGGATAACCATTGGATATATAAATGTCCGACCCTCCTGGACATAGTGTGGATATCCAATGGATACCCAGTGGATATAGTATTGTATGCAATATGGTTGTCATCTGTATTGGATATGGTGAATCAATGGATATTTACTTTTCAATAAATAACATTGGGTTTTAAAATAAAAGTCTTATTCTTTAATTTAAATATTTATTTTTATGAAAACATAAAATAGAACAGAAAACTACATATAACTAAAGAAGTGAAGTCTCTGGCTTGACATCACTCCTCCAGCTATCATTTGCCTTTTTATCAGCCTAATCATTTAGGGCCTATTTCACCTGTCTCCTTATGATCCCCAAAATTTGGCCAATCCATCAGCCCATTTGTTACCCTCGAGCCTATGTATAGCTTGCAAATAAAGGTACGGTATATAAATGCATGCATGTATTCACCTTTATTGTTTTACCTTCAATGCTAACCGAAAGTTTATAAATTGAACTTAAATATACCTATTTAATTTAAAATTGTATTAGTTTTAGACCAATACAATTTAAAATGATAACTATGATTAGAAAATTAATAAAATATTCACTTACCACTAGAGACCTCAAACAAATAACCACAAAACACAATAACTTGGCAATAAACTTTATGACAAACATATAACAAATAGCAATGATGGCGAATGAACCTTTACAATCTGTGGAATGAAGCAAATAAACATGAAAACCCTTTGGATGTACCTAACAATCATGGCATCATATTTAAGGGACGCTACCATAGAAAAAGGACGCTTCTTTATCTTCTGTGTTCGGCAGCAGTCACTGCTGAGCAGTGTTGTCAGACGTTTAAATAATTTCAGAAAGCTCATCAAAATGGCGGTTATATTATTAAATCTTTAATACTTAATTAATTAGTATACCTAGTATACCTATTTGACATAAATGTGGTGAATAATTATTTTAAATTTATTTAATTTATTTATTAAAACTTAATAAAGTACGGAAATATATTTCGTTTAGTTATTTTGCTTATAACCGGCAACACTGAAGATTCTCAAATTCAGCGCGTGCGTAGTACTATAAAATACAATAATAAACAAAAGGGACTTTTTTAAGTAATTTTTTATTGTATTGCAGACTGTCATAGTCATATTATTAACAGAAATAATATTATTAATATATAAATATTATTATCTGGGTAAAGTGAACATTTCAAAATTAAAAATTTCGTAGCTCTTGGCAAAAAATCAATTTACCGTAAAGTTGTTTTTTTTCATATGCTAGTTTAAACCATCACAAAATCCCACATGTATACATACAAGTATATATACAAGATATCCATATCAGTTATCCACCGGATATCCAGTGGATATACATTAGATGTACAGTGGATATACTTTGGACATACATTAGTTATCCATTGGATATATATTAGAGATACTTTGTTGAAATTGGGTTAATAACGATTTAAATCATATTTATTAATCATTACATAAATTTATCCTATAAGGGGCTATTTTAACAAAGAAAAAAATATTTTTAATGTTTTTGTTTTTTTTTTGAACATCCAGTATGGATATCCATTGGATATCCAGTGGATATCCAGTGGATATACATTAGATGTACAGTGGATATACTTTGGACATACATTAGTTATCCATTGGATATTGTAACGTTACAAATAGTAACGCTACATGTTTTAGTATAGAAAAAGATAAGTTAGGCACACATGAGGAATTATTTTGTTTATTACTCACACATTCGTTCATACTGTATATTGCTTATATCGTTCATGTAGAATGTGTATGTTTATTAGTTTCGTATTTCTTGTAAGTGTCTCCTGGTCACTGTTATATTTAGTTTTCTTTATTTTTATGTGTCTTTTGGTCACCGACTTTGGGTTGGTGTTTAGCTAAAAGAGCAGACTCGGTTAGTTTATTCCTTGTTAAATTATGTTTAGTTTGTGCAGGTCTAGGGGGTATTTTACCTTTTAGTGCCTGTTGATTTATTTGGGTCAGATCTGTAGATTGGTAGATTCTTTAAGTTGATTTCGTGTGTGTGACTTGTCAATGTAATTTCGTTCTTCTAAAATGGTTATAGGTTAGGTTACTATATAAGAAAGGGGTTTAGATTAGATTTATAGGATAAGTAGTTTTTAGCTTATTTGTGCCGTGTTTTTTATTAATGTTACTCACTTATAGTAATTGTTTTCGGATCGTTGCAGTTTGAACGATAATTTTCTTCATTTGTTTTGTTGACATTTGGAAATACGCCTAGCAGTACTTCGTGGTAATCTTGGTTGCATATCAACAATTTCTAATTTTCAAATTTTACAAATATGAACTTGCACGGAGTATGCGCGACTTGAAAGCGTCTCTTTTGGCGTCAGTCGACGAGAACGATTGGCGGCTCACGTTGAATAATCTGTGCTCACGTTGAGGATCTGTATCTCTTGTAGAAGGTCACTATTATGTATTATTGCTGTGCTTTAAAATGGTTGTTGGGGTTATTTGTCTTAAAAACAAATAATTATGTGTGAAAATATGGATATTCAAAGCTCCATAGCATCGAATTCCGTGTCATTTTTACAAAATTTATCGAAACAATCATCTCTACAAATACCAGCCCTTAAATCGTTTTATTTGACGAAATCTAGGTTGATCGAGTTAAATAAGACTATTAAATTACCCAAGCAAGTAAATAGTGGCTCAGGGAAGTGTAATAAATGTCTAATAAACTTTCAGATTGACACCATAACATGTAAAGTGGCCAAAAGTAAGAAGACAAAATTCGCTAGAAAATTGCTATTAAAACAGCGTAAACATAAGGTTCTTACGGATTTTCAACGAAAATATAGTAAAAGATGTATAACAAATGACAACAACTTGATAATAACATGTAAATTTTGCAAAAAAGAAAAGTCAATACCCATGAAAAAACCTATAATTAAGCCAATAGTAGTGGATACTCCAGTTTCTAAGACAGCAACAAAAAAGAAGAAAAAGAAGATAAGCCGTTTTAGTGGTTTGAATGAACAACTGGTTTTGTCTGCAAAAAAGAAGCAAAAGGATTTTGTAAAATTGATTCCGCTTAAGATTCTTCAAGAAAAAACAGTAGAACAAAAAAAACCTTGTGTTAATGGATCAAATTTGATACCTGTTAATTCAAAGAGTCCAAAAAAATCAAGGGATTCTATTAAGTTTAAGAGTATTATAGTTAAGGAAAAACCTGAGCAATTAAATAATAATAATGGTGGTAAAGTAACCAAAAAGAAAAATCAAGCCTTGGAAAAATCTTTAAAGAACTTAAAGCAGCTTATGGCGAGCAGTACACCTTTAAGTAAGCCAAAGGAAAAACCAGCAAATAAGCTGCAAGCTTTTTTGAAAGGTATTGAATTGTCTAAGGGTAAATAAAACCATGTTGAAAAGTAATAAATATTTATAATTTTCAAAAAAAAAAAAAAAAAAAAAAAAAAAAAAAAAAAAAAAAATATGGGTATAAAACCTAAACTATATAACATATAGAATAAAATTTTATTGATAAAATATATGAGTGAGTAACAAAATATTGAGTTTAACTTAATGACCGTGAACATTAGTTAATTTACTCTGTCATTCACGGTGGCGCCTACCCAAAGTGTAAGTATGAGAAATCAACGAACCATTGACCTTTGCCTCCAGACGAGTGAGCTGCCGGAGCATATAGCCAGCCCCAAGTTGGTTATATAAATTTGGCGCCCAACATCGATTTCTCATGTTTGCATTTTGGATTTAAATTTTTATTTTTTAAGAAAAAAGTCAAATTTAACTTGTGTAAAAATTTTCATAATTTACTCGATTTTTTTAAATGACAAAACTATCATAACGAATTTATTATTTTTAATATTTTTATTATTTTCAATATTATACATTATAAATACCTGGGTATTCGAACTTTACAAAGCCTACTAGCGTCGGAATCACAAAAAAACTTGCAATATACAGTGTGAACCAATTTCAGTAATATTTTAATTTTGATATGCCAAGTAGGCAATGAGTATTTTTTTGGGATATTTTATTATATTTTTTGATTTATAAATTTAAGTATAGATATACTTACATTAGTACTTTATTTAGTTTATGATTTTGAGCTATGGTTTTGCTCATGTGTGTTTAACTTACCTTATAATTTTGATTTAGTGCGCATGCGGACTTAGCGTGGATCAGATCCGTACTGGTCAAAAAATTTTAGGGGGTCATTTAGAAGTTTAAATTTTTATAAATATTTTTTTAACATACTGAATCCGTTTTTTCTTAGACCTGATTGTTGCTATATTGATATTTAGTTTTTTAAATTTTTATAATGGAGTCAAAGATTGTTGCTAAACACCTTCGAGTTGAAGAGTTAGACTATGAACTAAAAATCAGAGATACTGTTACCAGTAGAAGCCATGACGAGAAACGTAAGATTTTAGCTAGGTTGCTTAGGAAAGAAAAAGATTCTCCAACTGCTTTTGCCTTAGGTACATTAGATTTTGAGACGGAAAAAGTAGCTATTAATAAAACCTTAAGTTCTATTACAGAGTTAGTGTCAAATTTCGAAGGCAGAACAACAGATTCATTATATTCAGTTGTGACATCTAGACTTAATCACGTTACCCAAAGAGTTCGGAGATTGATCATTCCTGTTGATGCCAGGGAAGAGGCAAATAAGCCTTTAATTGATTATAAAAACGAAGCTTATGCAACTTGCCTGCATTTAGAGGCAGAACTTAACGATAAAATCGTTGAAGATGATATTGTGGTATCACCGCCTCCTTCATCCAGCACCCAAATCTTTAATAATAGTATAGCATCACCGGGTACACCGTTGGTAAACTATAAACTACCACGTATAGATAAGTGGAATTTAAAATTTAGTGGTGAAACCGATGAGATGGGTTTAATTCCTTTTATTGAAAGGGTGGGGGAGATGGCTGAAGCGAGGGGTGTAACTAAAGAACAGTTGTTAAGTTCAACAATAGACCTATTTTCAGGCAAGGCATGGCTTTTTGTAAGAACTAATAAACATATGATACAAGATTGGGACTCTTTGGTTAAACTACTTAAGCAAAATTTTGTGTCGGAAGACTATGATGAAGTTGTTTGGGAGCAAATTAAGGCGAGACGTCAGGGAAAGAATGAGACAGTAGCTATTTTTTTCGCAGTAATGGAGACTCTTTTTAGTAGATTAAGTAAAGAACCAGCAGAAGTTACGAAAATCAAATATTTGCGTAGAAATTTATTACCTAGTTATTTTAATCAGCTTGTCTTGGTGGATACTCCCAGCGTAACTAGTTTGTGTGCTTATTGTAGAAAACTTGAAGATGCTGCCAAGCAATCCTTTGATAGAGACAGAAGCGTTGAAAGTTTAGAATCAGAATTAAAATACGTAGATAAATCACCCAGTAGTTCTTTTAATAACAATAAATCCCGATTTGCAACTAATAATTATCAAAGTAAGTTTAGACCCACCTACCAGAAACCCAATATTTCAGCAGTTAGTACTAGTAACAGGCAAGTAATATGCTTTAATTGTAAACAACCAAACCATACATTTAATAATTGTACCCTTAAGAGGTCCAAATTTTGTTTTTCTTGTGGTACACCTGATGTGACTAAAATTAATTGTCCCACCTGTTCAAAAAACGGGGAGAGAAGACAGACAAAGTAACATCTTGTCTGTCTAATTTTCAACATAAAATAATTTTGAAAAAATCAAAAACATCAGATTTTTTTAATGTGAAAGATTGGGAATTGTGGTTAGGTAGGGTTAAATCTTTTTATTCCATAAAAAATAATTTAGACGCTATAGTTGAAAATAAAACTGGTGATAACCGGCCTTATGTCTCTATCAAAATATTTGATAAGTCTTTGACGTGTTTGTTAGATTCTGGCAGTACTTCTACAATAATAGGTCAGGCTGGGATGCAGCTGATTGGGCGATTTAGTCTAAACATTTTTCCTTCAAATATTAATATTGTTACAACTGCAGATGGTAAGCGTCAAAAGGTTGACGGATTTGTCAATTTACCTATAACGGTTGATAACAATTGTAAACTGCTTAAAGTTTTGGTTGTTCCTACACTGCAACATAGTGTATTACTAGGAAGTGATTTTTGTAATGTTTTTAAAGTAAAACTAAATTTTTGCAATAATACGTGGGAGGCTCAAGTCAATAATGTCAATATAGCTACAATTGAGGTCAGTAATACTGAATTAGACGATGTCTTGCAATCTCGAGAGGAATTTACTAAAGATCAATTAAACCAGATTCAGCTTACCATTAAGGATTTTGCCAGTATAAGCCCTACAGACAAGTTATCGAGGACAAATAAATTAGTTTACCATATAGATACGGGGGACGCACAACCTGTCAAACAACGACAATATAATATGTCACCATATATGTTATCACATCTTAATAAAGAATTAGATAAGATGGTGGAACTCAAGGTAGTTGAGCCTTGTGAGAGCCCATGGTCGTCACCCGTTTTGCTAGTCAAAAAAGCAAACGGCGAATATAGGTTTTGTTTTGACGGGCGTAAGCTCAATTCCTTAACTAAAAAGGACTCATATCCTCTTCCTTTTGTAGATAGGATATTAAACACTTTGTGCGACTCTCAGTATCTATCGAGCATAGATTTAAAATCTGCTTTTTGGCAAATTCCTCTGGACGAAGCCTCGAGAGAAAAGACAGCCTTCGCAGTACCCGGAAGGGGTTTATATTGCTTTAACGTGTTGGCTTTTGGGTTGTCAAATGCGGCGCAGGCGCAGCAACGCCTTATGGACGCGGTTCTAGGCCCAGAATTGGAACCATATGTTTTTGTTTATCTGGATGATATAGTAATAACCTCGAAGTCATTTGACCAGCATATCTCTCTCTTAAAAGAAGTTTTCCGTAGATTATCTGAAGCGAATTTAACTGTAAATATTAAAAAATGTCAATTTTTTAAGCCATCTTTAAATTATCTTGGATATATAGTTGATAAATCTGGACTGCGAACAAATCCTGATAAGGTTTCAGCAATGATTAATTTCCCTCAACCTAAAACAAGTACTGAGATAAAAAGGTTTGTTGGAATGTGCTCCTGGTACCGCAGGTTTATTCCGCACTTTTCCACTTTAATGTCACCTATTAATGATTTACTTAAAGGCAAGGCCAAAGGACAAAAAATAGTGTGGAATGACCCAGCGGAGGCCGCATTTAGATGAGATAGAGATATGTTTGGACATTGACCTCAAAAATCTTGATAAATTTTATGTAAATATGCGGAATAAAATTTTAAACAATCCAGATAAATTTCCTCAATGGTCAGTTAGGGATGATTTTGTATATAAACTAGTACCATTAGCTTCTGTAATAACTTCGAATATTCCCGAGTGGAAATTACTGGTGCCAAGAACCCAACGTCGACAAATTTTAGAGTCCAACCATGACAAACCCACTGCCGCTCATTTAGGGTATTCTAAGACTTTAGAGAGGATCTGTAACTCGTACTATTGGCCTAAAATGAGGGAGGATATTTTCAGATATATTAAAGCTTGCAAAGTGTGTAACTCGCAGAAATCTCCAACTACCGGACAAATGGGGTTAATGGGGGTTGCGAAAACTGTTAGTTTTCCTTGGCAGGTTATAGCCATGGATTTTATGGGACCGTTCCCACGTTCAAAGGGCGGATCTCAATATTTATTTGTTGTGTCAGATTGGTTTACAAAATATAGTTTATTGCAGCCTATGCGAAAGGCTAATGCTGTTAATGTTTGTAAATTTTTAGAGAATGAAGTTTTTCTAGTTTATGGCGTGCCTCAATATATAATTTGCGATAATGGCACACATTTTGCTAATGATTTAATTAAAAATCTCACAGAGAGATATAGGGTTAAAATTAGGTTTAATCCTAGGTACAGCAGTCATTGTAACTTTGTAGAGCGTTGTAACCGCACCATTGGTACTGCGATTCGAAGCTATATAAAAGGAAACCATAAAGAATGGGATTTGAATATTTCTAAGATAGGCTACGCGTTGCGCACGGCGGTTCACGAAGTGACGGGTTACAGTCCTGCGTTCTTAAATTTTGGCAGGCATGTTCCATGTTTGGGGGACTATTATCGCGGATCTGTAGATGACGGTTTTAAAACGGCCGATCGCGTAAAGTACTCTGAGGAACTTGGGGGTTTGTCGGAAATTTATAAAGGGGTTCAGGAAAAGTTAAAGGCGGCATATGCGCGCAATGCCAATACTTATAACTTAAGAAAACGGGATGTGACATTTTACGTCGGTGACTACGTGTGGAAGAGAAATAAAGTTCTCTCCAGTGCAGCGAATGATTTTGCTCAAAAACTAGCACCGCGTTATATTTTGTGTAAAGTAAAGAAAAAACTTTCGAAATTAGTATATACTTTACTAGACGAGTCTGGTCGTGATATA